CTAGGAAGAGCCATCCTGCCAGTCCCGGGCCAGGAGCCAGCGGGCCGGTGGCTGGCGAGCCGCCGGGAGGACCTCAAAGCTGCGGGGTGGGGGCTGCGAGTGCGAACCCAAGGGACGGGCCAAGCCGGACCGGGCCCTGGCGGCTCGGCCAGACAGGCAGAAGACCGGAGCCCGGGCGCCCAGCTCCGCACGCGCGGCCACTGCGGGGCCTCGTCGCCGGGCCACCCCCAGTGTCCCCCTCACTCAGCGCCTCCTCCGCGGCCTCGGCCATTGTGCCCCACCGCAACCCGTCACTGGGAGCCGCGGCCCCTCGGGGGAGCTGGCGACCGGGACTGCCCGTTCTCTCCGCCCGCAGCCACCCAGCGCCGGCCCCCGCGGCCCGCCCCGCCTCCTCCTCCCTCCCTAGACAAGCCGGGAGGGGGCAGCACTGCCGCCCACGCGAGCCGTCCTCTCTCCCGGTGTCAGCGGCTCGGCTCCGGGTCGCTGAGCTTGCGGAGAGGGGAAGGACCCAGTCCCCGCTCAGGAAGGGCTCAGCCTAGAGAGGGCGACAAGAAAAAGATTACTACTGTACTGTCCTGGCTGTGGCCTGTGGGAGCACAGAGGAAGCACCTAACCCCGACTGGCTGTGTATCGGGGAAGGCTGTGCAGCAGTTGGGAGATGATGCTGTAGTGCCTAAGACGACGGGCTTTGGAGTCAGGCAGGCCTGGATTTGAAATCCAGTTTCTTCACTTACTAGCTCCGGGTCTCTGGGCAAATTACCTTGCCTTTCTGACGTTAGTTTCCTGTTTAGAAAACGGGGATAACAGTAGTACCACCATCGAAGACACAGGCAAAGAATGCAAGACAAAATTGGTGTTAAGTTCCTATCATGGTACCTGACAAGTATGAAGTACTGAGAAAATCATGGAGCTAGGGAAAGAGGGAGGGAGCATTCCTGGCAAAGGGAACAGCTTGTGGAAAGGCCATAGGGCAAGAGGGCAGTGCCTAGGTCCTTGGGGAACTGCAGATAGTTCAGGGGTAAAAGTCGGATTTAGAAAGGTAAGCACTTTGCAGAAAGCCCTCCCCAACTTGGTCAGACTCCCCACTGCAGTATGTTGCCTCTCCTTTGTGGCACCTAACCATGGTTGTGTTAGCCTACAAATAAAGAGCCAAAATGAGTAGCAGGCGTTTATGTTGGGATCAAAGAATTGCAATTCCGGGAGCACAAATTCAGGTAGAAACCCAAATAGTGTTCCTCTAGGGAGTAAAAGTCAGGGGCTTAAAGGCAAAGAAGGGAGGTTGTATTACAAAGAATTTTAATTGGAGTTGGAGGCAGAAAGCTAGTCTTGGCTAAATATTGACTGACTATTGATTCTATCTTCAGAAAGTCCACAATCCTCAGTCTTTGTGATCAGGATGTACCTTCTCCTCCTGACTTCTCAAACAATTGCTTGTAAACAATTGCCATTTTAGCCCAATCCAAAGGTTTGGCCCAGTCCAAGGTCCAAGACAGCAAAGCAGTTTCTCTGGAAAGGCAGCTCCGACTCCATTTTAAAATGGCTCCACTAACATAAATTTTGACAGTTGTAATTTACTTATGATTCTAATTAATCTCTCCTCTGCTATTATAAGCTCTAGCAGGGCAGAGACTGTTGTCTACTTCTGCTCACCCCTCTTTGTACCCGCCAGTGCCTGACATACATATTAGAAGCTCAATAAATATTTACTGAATGAGTGGATGAATGGGGCCAGATCAGAACACATCTGTCACGTTAAGGACTAGACTTCAGGCTCAGGTGACTGTGAAACCACTGTAGAAGTTTAGAGAGGGGTGGCACTATCAGATTTGTTCTCAAGAAAGATCATTTAGGCTGCTCTATAGAGAAATGGAAACAGGGAGGTATGTTAGGAGGCTATGGTAATAATACAAGCAAGAGATGATGATGGCCTCACTCTAAGGGCAACAAAAATCAAGAAAAGTGGACTAAATTGGCAGTATTGGGTAACATTCCTTTCCTCTACTATACTTACATGCTCTCTCTTCAAGGTGGTAGTGTCTTGTTTCCTTTGAAATATTTATATGGAGAAACCTCTTACTGCACATTCCAATCACCCCTGTTCCTCAAGGAGATCTGATAATCTGTCAGCTTTGGTCCTCCTGGAGTTTAGTTCTTTAGCTATTTAACGTCTCTTGAAAGCAAACTTTTATCCTTTAGGCTCTTTTCTCAAAGTTGCAACGTAGGCCAGTCTCTGACAGGTAGATCTTATTCTGCGGAATTCAGGCTTACAAATTGGACATTGCTACATTCACTTCTACCCATTAAAGCTTTGAATGGGCCTTCATTTCATGAATTGTCTGCTTAACACATTAACTCTTTTGTCCTTCTTCAGCCCCTACTGGACTCTAAGGTCCTCGAAGAATAATGACTGTCTTTCTCTAGCCCTATCTATCTAATTGTGGCCCCTGGCACATATTAGACACTCAATAAGTATTTCTTGCATAACTTTTATTTCAACATTCACAGTTGAAAGCATTTCCATTCTGTAACAAAAATCTCCCCCTGCTTTCAAAAGTCCAATATACTCAATATAATTCAAGCTCTATCAGGGATGAAATGAAAAGGTTAATTTTCAGTCTGGGGTCTTCAAGCAATAGTTAATATTTTAAAAATCCCAAGGCAAATTACGTATTTGCCCACAAAAGGAATAAAAAGACTAGGGAAAATGTTAAGTTATTTGCTGTGGGCCAGAATTTTAGTACCTCAGTCTGGTTATGTTATGCCAATCAGAAGCAGGATTGGTGGTTATACATGTATGCGAATAGCTAAAAATAAAGAACTAATTATTATTTAATAAATGTAGTTTGGTAAACAAAAGATTTTAAAAAACAGTGCACAGCGGAGTAAAAAAGAGGATCCTAATGTTTAAAAAGCTGGAAACCACTGCATTAAATTACCTTCGAGTCTCTTTCAATATCCTGCTTATCCTTATAAACATCACTCTCACTGTACAGCACTGTAAATACATGTAAAGGAGATGAAAATAGGCTGTTTAGAATAAATTCCCAATTCCTCTCTTTTATAAAAATAGGATGCTAAAATGTTTCAGTTAGCTAAAGGTTTTGATTAGTTAGAATCTGGGATAACTCAAAATTTAAGTATCTTTAATTTTTAATTCAAGTGTATCACTGATAGCTATTTTGAATTCCTTTGGCTTCCCAAATATATTTAAAAGATATCCTCACGTAAAAAGATTATTAGGAGCCAGCCCTGATGGCCTAGCAGTTAAAGTTCGGCGTGCTCTGTTTCGGTGGCCCAGGTCTGGTTCCTGGGCACGGAATGACACCACTCCTCTGTCAGTAGCCATGCTGTGGCGGCCGCTCACATAGAAGAACTAGGAGGACCTACAACTAGAATATACAACTACATACTGGGGCTTTGGGGAATTAAAAAAAGATTATTAGTTTACGTGAGATTACTGAGGAGCTTAAACCTCTGAGGCAGGTGATGGGAGTAGGCAGGCTTCTGGAGCCCGGGGACCACATCATCCATAAGCAGCCAGCTGTCAGGGATGGTGTGGATGGGCTTCTCTACTTCAAGACATCCCACTACTGTTCAGGATGCCCCTCTGGGGGAAGCCATAGCCCCTAATGCTTTGAACTTTAACAGGTCATATTCTTCACACCAGCCACAAGACACCACTGTATCTTATATGTTGCTTGTAAATACTTCATCTTCTGTTTAAACAAAATTAAAGCTCCAGATGCCCTTTTATGTGTTAACAGTAAATTTCAGTTTTCTCATTTAAACCTCACAATTACACCATAAGGTACATTATTCTATCACCATTCTATTAATGAGGAAAATAAGGATCAGAGGGGTTACATAATTTGCTCCAGGTCCTGAAGCCAATATGTTGTACTGGGATTCAAACCCATGTCTCTGCTCCCTCCTCTACACCAGGTTGCCTCTCTTGAAACAGTTCATCAAACTAAAGGTTTCTATTAGACTCTTGGTTCCCCTTGGGATGCACTGCCACTGCCCACATCGCACTGACACACTTGCTTAAATGGCCCCAGGTGACTAGTGTTCTTGTGGTCAGGGTTTCTCAACCATGGCACTATTGACACTTGGGGCCAGATAATTCTTTGTTGTGGGGGGTGTTGTGTATTATAAAATATTTAGCAACATCCCTGGTTTGGAATATTTTCTTCCCAGTAGTGACAACCAAAATGTCTCTGGACATTGCCAGATATCCCCTGGGAGGCAAAGTCCCCCCAGCTGAGAACCACTGATCCCCGCCGTGCATCTCACAAGCTACTCCCACTGAGGAAAAATACGAGGTTAAACTTCTCTTTGCCTTAAATTGTCCCATTTAGTAACTTTCTTATCTGATGACTTGTGTAAGTTGATATACAATCTGCCAGTAGCTCAGAGTACAAGAAATATTTGATGATTGAGTTTGATTGCACAGACAGGCAGGGCCTAATTACCAATATTAGTTATCAGATTAAATGACGACTGAGCTCCCTTCAGAGTTCCATGTAGACTCTCCAATTCTCAAATAAGCTGTGCCCGATTACAAAGCCCTGGTTCAAACAAAACCACTCTCCCTAAAACCACCTGACCCTTCACAGTAGTTGCTTTCGTCTAATTTCCACCTATTCACGTCACCTGGCACTCAGTCTAACCCTATGCCCAACACTTACTGTCCTCCTGTCCCTTCCTCTTTCATCTCCTGATTCTACTAGTAGTCACTGCTCTTTCTCTGGGGACATCTCACTGGCTCTTGTGTCCTAGCCTTCAGATCCTGTTGTCAAGCCATTTCTACTACTTTTTGTTTCCTCTCAATTAGTGCATCATTCTAATTAGCACTATCACATATGCATAAGCATATTTTTATAAGGAAGACAAAAGAGGAGTATGTATAAAACATATCTATAGGGAAGAATTTATCCAAGAGAAACATTTAATCACCCTAAAGTACTTAAAGCAGATTTATACTTGTCACTGGACTAGTAGTCAAGATCAAAATGGCTCCTTCCATGAAGAATTTAGTTTTGGGCTTATTGCCAAAGTGATTTCTAATGATTTTACCAATGACAGAAGTCCCCTAAAACAGTCTCAAGTAATTATATCCTTGGGACCATACTCCAGTGTCAACTCTGTGGCAGAAAAAAGGTGATTATGTCCAAGAACTTTTCCACTTGATTACACTTATATGTTTCCCATCCTGCAGGACCCTTCCAGTGGTCTCCTACCTTCAAATGGTTTTCAACAATAAAAATCGTCTATAGTGCAATAAGATGTGGTCTCCATCAGGCTTTTCCTACATTCATTAGGTTTCTGTTACATATCAGAATAAGTCCTGTTTGAAGACTCACTCACATTCCCCAAGTTCCTTTCCAGTATGAAGTTTCTGATGTTTAAGAAGAGCTGTGCGCCCACAGAAGGCCTTCCCACAGTTACTACACTCAAAGGGTTTCTCTCCAGTGTGAATTCTCTGGTGATTAATAAGGTGTGAGTTCTGACTGAAGGCCTTCCCGCATTCAGGGCATTCATAGGGTTTCTCTCCAGTATGAACACGGCGGTGTTTAATAAGATCTGAGCTGCCCCTAAAAGATTTCCCACATTTATTGCATACATAAGGTTTTTCTCCACTATGAAGTCTATGATGTCTCATAAGGTCTGAGCTCTGGTTGAAAGTTTTCCCACATTCTCTACATTCATATGGTTTCTCTCCTGTATGAGTTACCTGATGTCTAACAAGGTCTGAGCTGCCTCGGAAAGTTCTACCACACTGATTACACTGATAAGCTTTCTCTTCTTGGTGAATTCTCTGCTCTTCTCTAAGCAACTCATCCTTGCTGAATGTTTCCTTACATCCTTCAAGTTTCTCTCCAGTATGCAGTCTCTGATGTTTGAGAAAAGCTGTGCGCCAGATGAAGAGTTTTCCACATTCCTTACATTCATAGGGTTTCTCACCACTGTGGATTCTCTGATGTTGAATAAGGAGTGAATGCTGCCGGAAGGCTTTCCCACATTCATTGCACTGATAGGGTTTCTCTCCAGTGTGAATTTTCTGATGTGTAACAAGGTGCGACCTCTGGCTAAAGGCTTTCCCACACTCACTACATTCATATGGTTTCTCTCCAGTATGAATTATCCAGTGCCGAATTAGATCTGAACTTCCCCGGAAAGTTTTTCCACACTCAGTACATTCATAAGGTTTTTCTTCCCTATGAATTTTCTGTTGTCTGATAACGTCCAAGTCAGAAGTGCATGCTTTTTCACATTCAAGTTCCTTTCCAGTATGTAGTCTCTGATGTTTAAGAAAAGCTGTGCGCCCACTGAAGGATTTCCCACATTGGCAACATTCATAGGGTTTCTCTCCACTGTGGAGTCTCTGGTGTTCAGTAAGGCGTGAACGCTGCCTGAAGGCCTTTTCACATTCACTACATTTGAAGGGTTTCTCTCCAGTATGAATTCTCTGATGGGTGACAAGGTGTGAACTCTGACTGAAGGTTTGTCCACATTCATAACATTCATAAGGTTTCTCTCCAGTGTGAATTCTGTGATGTATAATAAGATCTGAGCTTTGATTGAAGGCCTTGCCACATTCATTACATATATATGGCTTCCCTCCACTATGAATTCTCTGGTGTAGGACAAGGTTTGAGCTTCCCTTGAAGGCCTTTCCACACTCTTTACATTCATAGGGATTCTCGCCGCTATGAATTCTCTTATGTCTAACCAGGTTAGAGCTCTGATTGAAGTCTTTTCCACATACACAACATATATAAGGTTTCTTTCCAGTATGAATTCTCTGATGTATAATAAGATTTGAACTTTGATTAAAGTCTTTCCCACATTCATTACATACATATGGTTTCTTTCCTGTATGAATTCTCTGATGTATAATCAGATTTGAGCTCCGACTGAAAGTTTTTCCACATTCCTTACATTCATAGGTTTTCTTTATATTATCAGTTTTCAGATGTTCAGTTACTTCTGACTTCTCTTTGAAGCTCTCACCACAGTCTTCATATCTGTGGGATCTTTCTCCTGCAGAAAGTATTTTTTCTCTTTCATTACATCCATGGCCTCTCTCTCCTATAATGGCTGTCTTAGGGATGAGATTCACTTCCCTGATGCCTCTCTCTTGGGAAAGAGGATGTCTCACTGCATCTTCTAAGGGGTTTACCCAATGCCTCAATAATCTGTCCTCAGGATCACCAGTTTCAACTAACCCACATTCCTCAGAGATCTGTCTTTGGAGTCTTTCTGATTCAGCCTTTGCTGACTCTTTTTCTTCAGAAATTTCCATCTTTGACTTCCAATCCTTCATCTTATTCCTTGTCTCAGAATCTGAAATGATAAGCAGACCATTCTATAATTCCTAAAATACAAGTATCACCTCTTAACTATCCTGGGAAGTCTAAGAGGGAGGAACAAAGAACTAAGAAGAGGATTCTTACCTGCCAGGGCTGAGATTCAGACTTTTTTGAGAGATTGTGGCTACCACAGGAACACACACCCTATTGGTGGAGAAGAAACTTGCCAGGGTGCAGGCTGGAGCTGGTGTGTGGGAGTGGCCTACAGGGTGGTAGAAAAATTCACTGGAGGAGGTGGGCAGTCTGAAGCTGGTCCACAGGAAGTGGCCTGTCTGATGGGGTAGGAACTTGCTGGACCCTGTGGCTGGGCCAAAACAGGTTCATAGGAGGCAGCCCACTAAGGTGAGTGCCATCAGCCTCCCACAAGTTGATCTGCTGGCAGCCACACCAATAAATTAAAAAATAATAAAAATAAAATAAAATAAAAATAAAATAAAATAACTAACTAAATAAAATAAAATAACAGCATCCCAGCACCAAGAAGAGAAGTTCCTTCCTTTTTCCTATGGCCTTGCATTGTCCCTCCAGCATCCTCTATTGACAAAATCTAAATCTTGTGCCACCTGGCAAAGGAGAAATGGTCCAGATCCAATAACACAAGCAAAACAAAGTAGGGTAGATTTGAAGTTGAGGAGCAATAAACTAATAACTGGCACACTACTCATTCCTCCCAATATACCATGACAGTTAAACAAATCTGAAACTATGCCCTAGAATAAAAATGTTTGGGTGTCATTTTAATAGAATTCAATTCTCCCTTTCTCAAGCCTGACATTTTTGTTTTTGGTATTCTGGTGGAATTGAGTCCTTTTGTATGGCAATTTGGTGTCTTCCCGCAACTGGAAGACAAATGAGCTCATTGCTCTTGAGTGTCCATCAAATCCCTGACCTTGCCCAGTCACAGAAACACATTTCTGAGTTCCTTGAGAGAGTCATTTCACCTTGACCCTGGTCAAGTGGCTGGCCCTCTCCAGTCATTAATCTTTTTGCAATGAGTAAGAGGCAACACAGCAAAGTGATTAAGAGCGTGGACTCCTAATCAAACTGCCTGGTTTGAATCCTATTTCTATCACTTAGTGACTGTGTGACCTTTGACAAGTCACTGGAGCTCTCTGTGCCTCAGCTTCCTCATCTCTAAAATGGAGATAATAGGATTTACCTCATAGAGTTGTTATGAGAATTAAATATATGTAAATATATGTAAAATATTTACAACAATGCTTGGCGTTTAGAAGCACTATATAAGTGTCAGCTGCTGTTATTATTACTATTATTATTATTAATCTTTACCCTTTAAGTCCAAGAATCTTCATTAAATAATGTTTCCCTAGCACAAATCCAGGCTGGATTTCATTTAAATAACATTCAAATAAAATACCAGAAAGAATTGGTTTTGTCCTAGTTTTCTCTTAAAGTGCTTTTTTTGCGTTTGTTTGATATATATTGTTCAAAATTCAGAAACAGATTATTAAAAGATGGTAAAAGCATTTCTCAAAACCCACTGAAAACAATTAAAAGTATGACAAAGGAGGTAAACTCCATCTTCAAAAAGAGGGCCATATACAGACATCTCTCCAGTATCATATGCCTGAACGGCATATTCACTGGTCTTGTGATTAGAGTGAAGTGATCCAGAGGCGTGGTGGGGAGGGGTGGCACAGAGAAAGTGGGGACTGTCCCTGTAGAGATCTTGTTTGACATATCAGAGTGGCAGGGGAGAAGATGCTAAAGAAGAAACCATGCTGGAAGGTCATTTCTATTATCTTCCACTAGTTCTAGCTAAGGAACACTGACAGAGGTGACACAAGGTGAAGGGGGAGCAGATAGTGTGACTGTCAAAAAACCTGTGATCTAAAGGGCTTCTTCTTGTACCATCTCGATCTCTGGAAACCTGAAGGGAGACAAGCCTGTAGATTGATGAAACGGTGTTTGTGGCAGCAAATCTGTATGAAGGCTGTGAAGAGCCCCAGCTCACTTCCCTCTGCCTCTTCCCACAGACTCTTTAATAGAGAGCCTGCTCCATTCACTGCTGAGTAGTGCTAAGGTAACTTGGTAGGATGTGTGCCTGAAAATAGGTTGTTGTTTTAGGAAAGGAAGAAACATGAGTAACAGAGGGATTAGGAGCATACATCCCATCATCTCAAAGAAATTATAGACAAAATCACTCTTTAAATAAAAACTCAAAGATGAGCATCATGGCGGAGTGAGCTTTCCCGTGAATTCTTCCCCCACAAGATACAACAAAAGCAACAGCCACAGACCAACAATGGAATCCCAGACAGTG